ATATTAGAATGATTTCTGAAGATCATGTGACACTGAAGACTGGAGTAATGATGCTGAAAACACAGCTGCGCATCACAGAAATAAATAATATTTCAACAAATATACACATACAGTAGAAACCAGCATAAGCATCTGCATGTGTTTCCATAATTCAATTAGCATTGAATATAATGTAAGGGATTTTATTTTTACTCATTTATTGATTTATTAATTAAGCTTAAAACTTCTTATTTATTTATTCATTAAAGGCAGGGTATGTGATTTTTCAAAAACACTTTAGAAAACTGATTCGGGCCGAATCGCAAAACAAACTTGTAGCCAATCAGCAATAAGGGGCGTGTCTACTCGTGATGTGGAGGAGAGCGCGTTCAGTGCACGGGACGGACATTAGCGAGCCGAGCGACAGAAAGATAGAGATGGCGGATAAAAAACAAAAGAGGAAAACGTCTGCGGAATGATAAGGCAAGAAGTAGGACCCGTGTAAATATCGGATCAGCTTTCCAGCGCTGGAGAGAACTCAAGGAGCGGAGGCCTGCGATCGGACGCCGAGGTTGCTTTGTTTCTTCTCAATAGGTGAGTAACACCGTGTCTACAACAGCTAAAGTCTGCCTACACTGGACGCGATCAAACGACCGTTGAAAACCATTTGAAATGTGTGTCAGCACGTCATAAATAGAACCCGGCAGCAGTTTTCTGTCGGGATTTGTTGCGCCGCGCCGCTCACGTCCGTAGACACGGTGTAACATTGGTTTTGCTTTGTTTCACAGAACTAATCGTGGCCTGGGTGTGGGGACACGCGCACACACATATTGTGATATACTCTCATGATCTGTTAAAATAGTCTATTTATTTTGATATTGTCCTTAAAATCTCCAGAGAGAGAGAGAGAGAGAGAGAGAGGTAGAGAGAGAGAGAGAGAGAAGGCTAGGGTGAAGGGGAGAAATAGAGACAGAGGAGCCAAAGTCAGACTTTCCATCATCTCTTCATCTCATTCCTTCTCAGGAGTTTTAGGTGAGTATAAGACGTCCATGTCTATGTATTTCACAGCTCTTTTCTGATTTTACACAGAAATGCCTGAGATCTATTTATCTAAGCATACCACCAGATTCCTCTCCGGTCATGTGGGGCGTCAGATGGCAGACCGGATGTGGGAACTACCATACAAGCACAGAAACATTCCTCAGGACTTCATTTATGACATCGAACAGAATTGGACAAACAATTGTACTAACAACGGAATTCCACATATGCCGATTTCCACATCTGGGTGCCATTAACAGGTCACGGGGTCAAATAACGCAGGGTGGTCGCGATGTGGGTGGGCTACGTGGGGGGGAGGGGAAAGGTCAAAAGGTCAAAAGCCATAAATCAATCTTGACACATGGTAAATGGTATTTACTACTATTAACCAAACAATACAAAGCCAACATAATAAAAAATAAAGTAATCACATAATTGACCTAATTCAGTTAAGTTGCAGGTACACAAAGCAAGTGTCTGTGAGGAGTACGAGATGGGGAGTGGGTACCTAGGTACATAGGCTGTCAAATACATGGATTAAAAGCTAAATGTTTTCATTTTGGTTTGTTCTTAGCAAAAATATTTATTCGTTCAGGTTCGAAATAAGAATGGAGCAGTGTTCCTTTATAAAGAAATGTAATAATATTTGCCAATACTCTTGAATCTTCAAAGTGCTAACACTTTTGAATTATGCCTTTACTGTATATTTTTACTGTATATACAGTATTTGCTGTTTCAGCTGTTTGATCGTGCCGGCGCCTCATGCACACACTATATATTCTCTGCAAACACCGCAGCCTGTTCATTATCACAATAAAATACATTCAGCCAAACATGAAAAGTTACACTAGTCAATTTAAATAGTCTGTGAGCACCGGTCCACTGTGGCACATATAATTGCCCATTATGATTGTTTTCCCGTCGATATTGGAACGCGTGCGAAGTACAAAGCCGATTTTACCCAATCAATAATAGTTTAGCTTCAAATATATTGCAAAGATGGAAACATTTGAATTTGTGCCGAATGAAAGAGGTAGGCTACGAGTCCAACTTTCAGTTTCGCTTTAAATGAATTTGTTTTGGCTTGTTTGTATAGGCCTATATTATTATATAACATACTGCAATTATACTATATTTATTCATTAGAAATTAATAAATTATATATTTTTTCATTCTTGTTCTGTTCCGAATACAGTTAAATTGAAAGGATTTGTTGTGGAGTGAGGGGAACTATAGCCTGTATGTTTAATAGCACATTATAACATTACGCTTTATGTAGGCCTGCCAGTATTATCTCTGAACGTAATAAAAAGCGACTTATACGTGACTTCAGTTTTTTCTTTCCTCTCAAAAACTGAAACTTTATGTTTAGCGTGTTTTTTAAACATGCAGCAAATGAAAGCAGGCGATTAATCGGTTAAACACTCTTCCTGTCAGTTAACACATTTAGATTAGTATTCTTATGCTAGAGCAGAGTCTGGGCCAAATCTGGCTTCATTCTGATGGCAAATGTTTGTGATTTTTTAATTTTTTTTTATTTGTGATGTACAGTAGATTCTGACTAATAAAACAAAAATCAGGCTGGTGTATTTATAACATCAGTTGCTACTTTCTTTGTTCAGAAACAGAAGTAACTTAAAATGTTATTTGTGTGTTGTACTTTTGATATTTTTAGTAGCTATAGACAGCAAAACTACAGCGCTTCCAGTAGGCTATTTTAAACACCCCATTCATTTATAAAACTGGGCTATATGTTATTAAATTGTACATCTAAAATTATATAAACCCCCTTAACATAACTACAACAGCTACCTTACTTACTATCAATAAGCAGTAATTAGGAGTTATTGAGGGAAAACTCTTAGTTAACAGTGAATGTGTTCCCTAATCTAAAGTGTTACCAGTATTATCAACATACTATAAAGTGTATTAACAGTATATCCACTTTTTTCCTGAATGCGGAAGTCTCATCCGCCTCATAAAGGAAACATGCTTTGTATTTCCGGTCTCTGGTGTTTCTAGTCCAGCACAGATTAACCCTGCGAACATTTTTATGTGTATTTATATTTTTAAAGTTTCAGTCGATCTTTTTACCCCATTTTAACATGGATTTCTATGGCGACCGGAACACAAAAGCATCCAAACAGAAGTCAGAATCCTTCGTGGCGGCGCTCATCGGTCACTCAGACAAAAGTTTTTATTTTATTTTTTATTTTGTTATTGAACAGTATCAGTTTACAAAGTCAAGTGTGGAATATACACACTTTTCACAAAATTACATCACCAGTCATACATAAATGTCCATGTGTGTATGTATATAATATACACTCACACACACACTCACACACACACACACACACACTCACACACTCACACACTCACACACACACACACTCTCTCACACACACACACACTCTCACACACACAATAAACAAAATCCTTCTTTAAACATTTCAGGGGGTTGCAAGGGGGAAAAAAACACTTAAAAGTCTTATAAGGAAAGAGCCTCGTACATGGTTTAATAATTCATCCAGGGGTTGATTATCTTTGGATAAATATTTTAAGGATTCTAAGTAATTTTTACATTCATTTTTGAAACAATTTAAAGAGGGTTTACTGCTATTCCACTTGCTTTTATGTATATGATTTTTGCCCATTATAAGAAAAATGTTTAAAATCAATGACATTTTCTTCGGAAGACCATCTGCATAACATAGCAGAGTTTAACAGCCCATAACAGACAGATCTCTCATTAGCCAATGATTAAGAAATGTTTTCACACTGTCAATTCTCTCTTCTATGTTACTAATTCTCTTTTATGTAATTCTTTAGACATTGTTAAACCTAAGTATTCACTTTAGATTTAACAGAAATGAATTCTGTACTTTCTTTATTACAAGAATACAGAGGATAAAGTTTTTAATTTAGGCATAGGCCTGTTGCTCTAGAGAAAACTGAAATAATGTTCAGGGCTTTCTTCACTATAGATTTATCTTTTAAAATATTACCGTGTCATCAGCAGATTGACTAATTCGATACTCAACAGCAGTTGATAAAATCTATCATTCTTGAACAAGTCATTATTAAACGTCCAAATATTAGGAGATATCTGAGGTTTCTTACAGACTGAGAGGCCAGAGTAACCATACAGTGATGTAAGTGGGGCAGCTGACATTTTACATTCGGGCACATTCTTACATAGTTCGCCAGAAATAAGCCAATAATCTAATCTCGAGCACTGTCCATTTCCCGAGGGCTTAAACCATGTATAGGCCTACTGACACCCTCCAGTAATCAACCACACTTATAGTTGTACATACATTCAATATAGTAGTATTATACACAGAAAGTGAAGCTCTTTGAGGTCTCCGGTCTAGCCATGAATCAGGGATTATATTAAAGTCACATGGATTGCCATTCATTACCATTAAACCCTTCTCCTGCAGTAGCTTGCAGTGGGTCAGCAGGTTTGTTCAGGGATTTCTCCAGACCACCTCACATGTTTCTCAGAAAGCCTTTAAACTTCATCCGCATCTGCAGCTGACACACAGTGTGTAGAGCTTTGTTTACACGAATTGTATTTGTGAATACTGATGCTTTGAACGTAAGAATTGAAAAAAACGTGTTATTATTATTATTACTACTGTCTTAAGCATGTCATAACTTGAGGGCGCTAGCTCTGTAAGGTTTGCTCTGCTGCAAGAGACATTCTCTGAACTGTGTGACATAGAAATAATAATTTGTACATTTAATTCACTGTACTTTTATCCGTGGTGAATGCAGATATGCAGTTCCTTCAAAGCCTAGCTGTCTCGTATTATTCTGCTAAATACAAAACAAGACCCGTTGATAAGTTCGCTGTGTAAATCCGTCTTTGCTCATGAATAGCAAGGCTGTACGTTCTAGGAAGGTCACGTGAGCACGATGGAATTAATATTCATGAGCCGTGACTTCTTTTCCCTGCGAGAAGTCTCGCGATAGGCGCTTACTTGCACGGCCGCCATATTGTGTGACACTATTTTGATTCCTATCTGCTGGAAGAGAGAAAGCAAGAGAGAAAAGCAGGGGAAACGCAGAAGAGTTCCCGAGTGTGTGAAGCAGCGGCGGCGCGGGGTTCTGCCTCACCGCGGTGTTGAACGGAGTCGGGCCTGGGTTCCGTCCCAGCGCGGTTCCGCGGCGCGTCTCGGGGTTGAAGGCGGCCCGGGAGCGGCGGTGACACGGTGAGGAAAACGCTTGCGATCAGGCCTTCCGAGTGTGCGACAGCCCGGGCGGACTGCGCGCTTTTGGGATGTCTGCTCCGGCTGAGAACGCGATGAAAGGCTGTAACGCGTCGCGATCCCGCATCCGCTCGCTCGGGGTTTCTTTCCCGTTTGTTGACGTTTAACGCGTAGCGCGGCTCGCGGTGTTACCGAGCGTCCCGCGCAGTGGCAGCGTGAGTTTAAAGGCAAAGAGAATGTTTGTTTGTTTGTTTGCGCGGATCGGTTAAGCGCTGCAGCTGGACGCGTTTCATCTGACAGCGGGTTCGTAAAGCTAATAAAACTGTGGCGGTTATCAGGCCAACACAACAAACGAAGGCTCGCGAGCAGCTGAAGAGTGAAGGGTTGAAAGTAAATCCAGCACATAAGGGAATAAAGAGCTCAAATGCAAAAACATGATGGAACAGATTTTATTCTGCACGCAACTCTGAAGGCGCTTTCACGAGTCCCTAAATCAGTGTTTATATAAAACATTATATAAATGCAGCTCAATTCCTGATTTGGCTTTGGCAGATGAAAACAACCCGATACTTTAATCCAAACGCCTTTGCTCCATTATTTGACACTACTAAACTGCCCTAATAATGTAATAATCAGGTGTCATATATTTCAGAAGTACATCTCACTTCAGTTCATATGATCCAGGTAGCGGTTTCTGACTCATATGTATGTATATATATATATATATATAGTTATAGTGTGTCAGGTATGCAGCTGTTTTCAATATTAGGTGTAATAACTGGACGACCTGCTCGATCCACAGTTGTGCAGTTTGCCTCACATTTCCAGCAGCACAATCTGGTGTTTCTGATTGAGTTCAGCGCTGATTAACAGTGCAGCCCCGCACCTAAATGATGTGAAATCTGTACTGCTTCACACAGGGACAGAAATGTAAAATATAATAATTTTTTTTTTTTTGGTCTAATTGGCAGGTTTTATTTTCTTATCTCTTTTAATTGGCTGAGAAATCAATTACACTGCTGGACAATAATCAATAATTTGTATTCTGTAATGTAATATTTTTCCTATTTCCTATAACTAATAAATAGGCCTTTACGAGAAATATATTTTTACTTAAATAATAAATTAAGAAAATGAAAGAAAAACTGTGCAACAAGTAGCCTAGTATGCAGAGTTTCGGTTCATTGTTGTGCTGCGAGAAAGGAAACAGACAGAAAGCCGCGTCCTATTTTTCTTTAGGCTTATTTTACAAAAGCACAAAGATTTGTTTTTATTGTGAATGTAGCGACACAAATAAAGGCAAACCTTTTACAATTCCGATTATCTTTAGGACTAAAAGGAGTAGTT